TATATATATATATTACAACTAAACTGGTGTTAGACTTTCAAATATTATAAAAAAACTAATTAGAAAATAAAACACTGCTAAATATCCAAATAAATTCTCTAACAAAAATTAATTAGAACAAAATGAATAAATATTTTTTGTTTTTGCTATGACATTTTTAAAAAAAATAGAATATGCACAAAAAAGGAGGAATGAAAAGAACTTGGAGGAGGAAGATATAGAGCGGCGCAAAAAGTGAGGAGTATATAAAGTAGCAGAATTATTTATTTACTACAGCAGCAATTAAAAAAGTGTGCGAATGCTATGAGAAAAACGAAACCTCAATTACGAATTGTGAGGTAGGAAGGCATTAGGCATAGGCATAGGCATAGGCATGGCTACTCAATCCTCTCTTCCTCCCATTTCCACAGGTTTCACTTTCTTCTCTCTTTTCTTTTCTTTACGCCTCATACTTCAACATTTCCGCTGATCTGCGAATCATTACTCTCCACTCTGCACTATTTGGAATCTATTCTTCCTACTTCTCATTTCGATAATCAATGATCCAATAATTAAATTACAAAACCTGATTTCGCTATGTTTTATTTTCTCTTTTTTACAAGGAAATGAACTACATAGCTTCCTAACAAATGTTTAACCTATATAATTAAGCTATGCTCTGGTTCAATTTTCAGAAGTTGTGATTTATGTGTCAAAAATACTACTAATACCGTCTTTTATTAATATATATATATATGTGTGTGTATAGCAAAAAGTCAGTTTCCTTCATCGTGTTTATTTATTTTACTGTGTTATTGAATGCTTCCATGATTGATGTTTCAGGCAGATAAATCATCGGTTATACTATTTTGAGTGTTGATTAAATTGATTCATTGGATCTCCTTTTCAAGGTGTAGGTGGGGAAATTGCGCAAGAAAATGATCAGAAAAATGCTGGAGAAGAGCTTGTTAAACAGAGTTCAGACACGTCGGTGTTTGTGAACTCTGAACCCATGCGCGAGGAGCAAATCCAGAATGCTGTGAAATTTCTATCGCATCCCAAAGTTAGAGGTTCTCCTGTCATCCACAGGCGTTCGTTTCTGGAGAAGAAGGGGCTTACCAAGGAGGAGATAGATGAAGCATTTCATCGCGTGCCTGTAAGCTTCTTGTTTGATGTGTTACTCAAATTTATAGATAGCTTTGTTCATGTAGGAATACAACCAGTGAATTGATTATCGCTGTCTTGTTTGTTCATCTGTTGTAATGTTCACCTTTGCTTCGAATCACAGGATGAACCTCCAAGTGTGCAAACAGCTGGTGTAAATCAAGGTGAAGTGTCTAATGTTGAAATTGCATATTGGTCATCTGTGTTTTTCCCCTTTTCACCTTTGGACTGAGTTTCAACTGCTAGTTTTTTTTACCCATTTATTTATCCTATTCAAATAGAACTGGATTTCCTCTTTCAGTTATAATAACTCATGGTTCACTGTAATACTCACAGATGGACAATTGAAGCCATCATCAAACATTCAGCAGCAAGGCCAATCACAGGCTTTGCAGCCGACTGTACCTGCTTCTACAGGTGTGACTACTTCGTTGGGAACCTTATCACGCCGCAGTTTTCGTTGGACTCATGCGCTTTTTGCAGTTGGAATTGTAGTTGCTTCAGGTGCTGGAACATTTATTCTAATAAAGGTATTTACCACTAACCTTTCTGTATGATGCTCTCTAAATTGATATATCTTAGGATGGTGAGTATATAGCTTGATTTGACATATCTATCTTTTGGTAAGCATAATTAATTTCTTGCTCTATATATTAGTTTTATCACTGGTTTGAGCCTCACTGAACTTTGGAAGTATGTTCCATGTTTTAGAAATCTGTTCTCCCTTGGTTAAAATCGTGGATACGCAATGTTGCCCTAGAAGAGGAAAATGACCAATTAAAGAGAATATGCTCAAAACCATCGTTGGCAGAAGAAACTGCACAGGCTGCAAAAGTAGCTGCAGTTGCAGCTGCAGATATTGCAAAAGCAAGCCAAGAACTACTGACTTCAAAAAATGAAGGTGGATGATAAATTTCAATTTGCAAGATGTAAAATATCTTATTTGTGTTAATACTCCTCATTGTCGTTGACATCTTTTGTTGCTGAATAATGGCTTTTTTTTGCTGCATCTGGTTTGCAGAGAAGAGATATTTCGTTGAAGTTTTGAGCCTTTTGGATAAGCAAGTGCAGGAAATGAAGTTGATGACTAATGCAATAAGAAGATTGGAAGGTAACTATAAATCTCTGTTTAATTTATTGGGCTAAGATGAACAGTTCCAATGCTATGAATATTTTCCAGAAGGTTTGGTTTATGGTTTGGCAATGGCACTTGTATATTTGTTAAGAATGCTCTTGATTGTCATTAGTGAACCTGTACCTTTATAGCCCTCTCTAGAATGCAACAAGGCACTGATGTAGCATGGTCAACAAGAGCTTTGACAAATAATATGTGCATTTTGATTATTATAACAGAATTTCATTCTGTGACTGTGCCAGGAAGCTCACTTTTACATCTGCATTCTACTTTCTTACAATCTTTAGAGGCTTCCTGAAAAATTAGTGGCTTTGCATGTCAGAAATTCTAGCATATTTTGGCAGAAGATTTTTTGTAGTACTCATTTTTATTTTTATTTTTTATATTCTTACTAAATATCATCTGTTTCCAAATTATGGATGGAAAATAGCTTCTGGTGGATTCTCTGTCTCAAAGCAAGAAGATCGCCTAGCCACTCAAACAAGTTCAAAGGTCAGATTATATATGTATTAAGGAATATTTTCAGCTTCTCTAATGAAATTTTGGCACACCTCTAATCCCCATTTGATTTGTCCAAAATATGTTTTACTTTTGACAACTGTAATTTTTTGAAATAGATACAACAACTTATCATGAATGGGAAGTCAGACTATGAGTCCCGAACAGGTTTTTATACATTAATTTAATCTCAATCAATTAAATTACTGTAACTTCTGAATTATTACCTATGATTAGAATGTTATTTGCAGTGAGATCTTCATCCCCTCCTGTATCTGCTGAACCATCTTTTGCGAAGTCAGACTATGAGTCCCGAACAGGTTTTTATACATTAATTTAATCTCAATCAATTAAATTACTGTAACTTCTGAATTATTACCTATGATTAGAATGTTATTTGCAGTGAGATCTTCATCCCCTCCTGTATCTGCTGAACCATCTAGTGCTCCCCATCCAAAATCATATATGGAGGTAAATCTTTGTCTTGCTGTTCATATACCCCCCTTTAGGCACAATGCAATATTTGAGGGCTTGTTATATCCTGTCGAGCCAATAAAGATTTCTGTTCTACAAATCATAAGATGACATTTATGAACCATTAAATACATTGGGTTCTTGCTAATATAATTTTTTTAATTAAGGTAAATTCTCTTTGATTTCTGCTTCTACAACTTCCCAAATCAACAAGCTAAATATATGCAATTATTGAGATTTTTAACTAACATCATATTGCAATTTCCAGTTTATTATTTTGTTCCTTTGTTTGTTGGTACGAAATACAACATATTTAATTTACTTTATCCACGTTACATGTTGATTAAACCTGTGTTTTAGAAAAGGTTCAACATGACATTCTCTATTTTGTTGATTTTAATTGAGGTCATACGATCCTCTGTGTGAATTATTTCCTTCCATTATTTTTCTGCAGATAATGGCCATGATCCAAAGAGGGGAGAAGCCTTCTAACATTAGAGTAAACCTATATGCCTTTCAATCTTGATAATTCTAGTTGCATGCCTAAAATCATACATATCATTTGTGTTCCATTGATATAATTAATAAAATATTGATTGAAGTAAAATTTACTAGTAAAATGTGAGACATGAATGTTTACTAGTGTAATAAAATATTGATTGTAACGTGCAAATAAGATTACTCTTCTCTGTTAGGTTTACCAATTTTTATGTGGTCATTACTTCTATGACACAGTATTTTAATGCAGGAAATTGATGATTCACCCCCAAACCCTTACCAGCAACCATCAAATCCTCGCTTAGCACCTAGAGCCAAGGTATATTTCTAAGATCTTACATTGCATTTCCTAAGTGCTTTTTTTATTTTTATTTTTATTTGTATTTATTTTTGAATAGTTGACTGAGTCAAACAACATCATGTGATCCATGTAGTCGACTCATCTAGTGTGATAACACTTTTCCCACTTTGTTGCTGTTGCGCTAGTCTGAAAATTTTCAACTTTATTTTGGTTCACTTATGAAGTGTTTCTGTATATTAACTCATTCACAAAATTATTATTTCTAGATCTTCACATTCTGATTACTGACCATCTGTGTGAACTGTGAACATACATGACTTACCTTTGGACCATCAAGGTAAAGATAGTTGATCTAGGCATAAGTTTCATTCCTAGTTAATGTTTTGCTAATATCATCAGCATATTGAATTGCAGAACCAGGTAACTGATTATATGGCAATTTAACAATTATTCTCTGCTTTGAAAACGTAAAAAACTGAGTCATTTGAACATTACATGGGCTAAACGGATGTTATCATATTTTTTATATAAGATATATAATATGAATTTACATTGAGGTATCTTCTGATTAATTAGTAATATTAAAATCGGATGTGTGTGTGTGCGAAAAGGTAATTTATGCATAATGGGTGTTAACATTCCTTTCCGGTAGTATTATTCCATATGAATCTGATTATTTGCTACATCTCATGACCACTAGCCTTGGGAGGTTAGTCAGGCTCAAAACACCTCAACCCAAGTCCTTCAGTATCAAGTAAATGGAAAGCTTCAAGATGGTGGTGACAATCAAGTACCCTGGTGGCAAATAAAAAACGCCAGAATCAAAGAGATTGATAACGAAACCGAGTATAGTGGAGCACCTGCTGCATCCAGTCAACCACCAGTCCAACGAGCGTGGGTTCCCCCTCAACCTCCTCCCATAGCAATGCCAGAAGCAGCAGAAGCGATCAGACGCCCAAAGACGGTAGTCCAAAAGGAAGTGACGTCGGCTGATCAGTCGGAAGCTCATCCTTCAGACATCAATGATGGACCCAAATCTGAAGATTCAATAGCCTTCAGCAACGACAACTCACTTGTCAGCTCTGGTGAGATCCAAAATCATGAAGTCAGTTACGAAGAGAAATGAAGGTAGTTCTTTGTACTTGATCATCTCCATTCATCCTAACAATACATGAAGTATGAGTTCGAAATAGAAATTGAATCGGTCTCAAGTTCAGGAATAGCTTGATTTAGTTCAAGTTGTTCAGCTCTTATTTCTTAGTTATGGATTCTGTTATATGAGGATTGAATCCTACGTACGCCAAAGCATGCAGTGTCGAAATGTTAATAGTCAGTGGTTACTGTGTTTCCTTCATAAACTATTGTTTTACTTTATAGGTGCAACACCACTCGATTTTATTTTATTTTATTTTTATAAATTTCTATACAAATACTTATAAGAGTGAAAACAAAAAAGTAAAGTGAATTGAACTTTTTTCATGGTAAAATTAACTTGTACGTTTAACTTTTATAGAAGTTGGTTTTCATTCAACTTTATTTCTTCTATAAGCCTAATGTTTTCTATTAGGCTCTTAAAAATTTATTATGGGTCTAATATTTCCATTACTCTCAAATTTAGATACTCAATTTGTGGAATTTTTTTTATATGTAGAAGACACTTTTTAACAATTGCCTTCTTAAGGTTTGGCTTTTGATATTTTATTTAAAATATATTTCATCTACCCTCGTACTCAACTCTCATTGTTCGTGTTGATTATTGTTAGAGTATCTGTAATGAGGATTGCTTATAAGCAACTTCCCGTGCCACATCACTGCTACATCAGCTCTGGCCCACTTTACGGGTTGCTTAAATTTTAGCAGAGTTGCTTCATCAGCTCTGGTCCACTTTATGAGTTGCTTAAATTTTAGCAGAGTTGCTTGTAGAAGCAATTGCTAAAATTTAAACAACCTATAAAGTGGGTCAGAGCTGATTTGGCAGTGATGTGGCACAGGGAATTGCTTATAAACAACCCCCATTGGAGATGCTCTTAAGAATGTTGGCCATTTCAATTGTTAATCCCAATGACATTGAGAAATCTTATGGTGGGGCTAAATCATTTGGCTGTGAATCTTGGCAAAAGGATGGTTTCAATAGGTAATGCTGCTTGCATGAAGGGTTAAAGGGAGTTGGGCAATTTTTTATTTGTATTAGGAAGTTATTTAAAAGACTTGAATATGAATAATTTCTTATTATGAATATGAATGAGTACAATAAAATAAATAGGCATAAAATATAATCAACCCTAAAGTTTAGGGATTTAGATAAAACTGACTAAGGATGACTTAGGAGAAGATAAACTAGTATATCTAAACAGAATTATCTTAACACTCCCCTCAAGCTGGAGCATATATATCATATGCATCTAGCTTGTTATATATATGTTATCCTAGCACCTCGTAAAGATTTAGTAAAGATATCTGCAAGTTGATCCTTGGAGCAAACTGAGGAGGTCTTGATGATACCGGAGAGACTCTTTTCTCTGATGAAATGGCAGTCAACCTCTATATGTTTTGTTCTCTCATGAAAAACTGGATTAGAGGAGAGGTATAAAGCTGACTGGTTATCACAAACTAGTTCCATATGACCAACCTTGCAAAACTGCAACTCTTGAATTAAGAATTTTAGCCACAAGAGCTCACATGTGGTGTGAGCCATAGCACGATATTCTGCTTCTGTACTTGATCGTGCAACAACACTTTGCTTTTTACTCTTCCATGAGACAAGATTACCACCCATGAAGACACAATAGCCTGATGTTGACCGCCTATCACTTGCATCACCTGCCCAATCTGCATCTGAATATCCAACAATGTTTGTATGTCCTCTATCATTGTAAACAAGTCCTTTTCCTGGTGATCTTTTGATGTATCTAAGGATTCGAACAACTGCAAGCCAATGACTCTCACAGGGAGAGTGAAGAAATTGACTTACAACACTGACAGGAAAGGATATATCAGGTCTGTCATGGTGAGATAATTCAATTTTCTCACTAATCTCCGATATCTCCCTGGGTCAGAATAAGGCTCCCCCTGATTAGTCATAAGATTCACATTAGGATCCATGGGAGTGTCAACTAGCTTACAATCTGTAAGTCCGGTCTCTTCTAGAATATCAAGGGCATATTTTCTCTAAGAAATAGCAATACCGGACTTTGACTGAGCGACCTCAATCCCGAGAAAATAACGTAGGGGACCTAAATCCTTAGTGTTAAAGTGTTCAAATAAGTGTTGCTTCAGAGCCTTGATGCCCTCCTGATCATCACCTGTAATCACAATATCATCTACATAAACAACAAGATAGATAAATCTGTGTCGATGAGCGTCTAAAGAAGGCAGAGTGGTCTGCCTCACAGCGGATCATTCCAAATTCTTGTATAACTTTGCTAAACCGACCAAACCAAGCACGAGGTGATTGTTTGAGGCCACACAAGGACTTTTGTAATTTACATACAAGACCAGACCCCCCTTGAGCAACAAACCCGGGAGGTTGATCCATATAAATCTCCTCCTCCAAATCACCATGTAAGAAGGCATTTTTGATGTCTAATTGAAACAAAGGCCAATGCCTCATAGCAGCCATAGCTAAGAAGAGACGAACTGAGGCCATCTTCGCAACTGGAGAGAAGGTGTCGCTGTAATCCAAACCTTTTAGCCACAAGATGAGCTTTCAATCTATCCACTTGTCCATCGAGGCCCACTTTAACATTAAATACCCACCGACATCCAACAACAGATTTTTCAGGCGGAGATGGGTCAAGTACCCAAGTGTGGTTGGAGTCTAAAGCTGTCATCTCATCAATCATTGCTTGTCGTCATCCTAAATGGATTAAGGCCTCCTGTACTGTCTTGGGAATGGTAATAGAGGAAATAGCAGAGACAAAAGCATAATAGGTAGGAGACAAACGATGATATGAAAGAAAGTTAAAAATAGGATGATGATTACAAGTAGAACGACTACCTTTACGAAGAGCAATGGGCAAGTCAACTGAGGTAGGTGGGGCCGGAGTAGGTGAGGAGACTGAAGCAGGAGTAGAATCACATGGCTCAATTGAAGAATCATTGGGAGGAACAACAGTATGTGATCGACGCTCATAGGTTATCCCAAATCGGTGTAGAGGATGGTCAGACCCTGGTAGTGCGGGAGGATCTGGTGCCTCTAAAGTAGCAGGTGTGGTAGGAGGCACACTATGATCAAAATGAGGAATAGGCAATACCTGAGAGAGGAGATCTGAGTCAACCGGAGAGACATCTGTGGCAATAAAATATGGTGTATCTTCAAAGAAAGTGACATCTGCACTGGTGTAAAATCGATGCGTAGCAGGAGAGTAACAACGGTACCCCTTTTGGACACGGGAGTATCCTAAGAACACACATTTGATGGCCCGAGCAGACAACTTAGCACGTCCTGAGAAAAGATCATGGACAAAACAAGTACAACCAAAGACACGAGGATGAACAGAGTAAAGGGGTTCCAATGGGTATAATAGGGAATGAGGTACTTGATCATTCAAGACAGACGATGGCATTCGATTTATTAAATACCCTGCAGTGAGGACAGCATCGCCCCACAACTTTGGGGGTGCATTGGCATTCAATAAAAGAGTACGAGCAGTGTCCACAATATGTCTATGTTTTCGCTCAGCTACACCATTTTGTTGAGGTGTATGAGGGCAACTAGATTGATGTAGAATGCCATGGGAAGCCATAAATGATTTGAAGCAATCTGAAAAATATTCTTTAGCATTATCACTTCGTAAAATCCGAATTACTTTGCCAAATTGAGTTTTGATCTCCGAATAGAAACTTAAGAAAATATTGAATAACTCAGAACGATTTTTCATTAAAAATATCCAAGTACATTTAGAAAAATCATCAATAAAGGTGATGTAATACCTATGCCCCAAAAGAGAAGGAACACGACTAGGTCCCCAAACATCAGAATGAATAACATCAAAAGGAGACATAGCTCGACTATTAACACTATTAGGAAAAGAAGCTCTAACATGCTTTCCTAATTGACACGACTCACACTCTAAAGACTCTAACCGTGAGAGATGAGGTACCATTTTCTTTAATTTATTCAAGCTTGGATGACCCAGGCGACGATGGATTAAACCAGGAGACTCAATAGATGCACATATGGTAGAGGTAGAAGGCTGAAGGTAGTAGAGACCATGTGATTCAGATCCGGCTCCAATCGTCTGTCCCGTACTCCGGTCCTGTATCAAGAAAGAATCAGAAGTGAAGGTTATGACACAGTTTAGTGACCGAGTCAACTTACTTATAGAAATCAAATTAAAGGGACATCCAAGAACTAGTAAAACAGATTTTAATGGTAGTGATGGAAGAGGTGATATTTGACCAATACCAGTGGCTTGGACTTTTGACCCATCTGCAAGAGTGATATGATGTGGAGTTTTATGTGATGATAGGTTACGGAAAAGGGAGACATTACCAGTTAGGTGATCAGAAGCACCGGAGTCCAAAACCCAAGGTCCAATAGACGTAGAATGAGAGAGATAGACTGTAGAATTACTAGTATGAGCAACAGTGATGGAGGAAGGGGCCTGTTTAGTCGCCTTCAGTTGAAGATACTCTTTGTAATCATCGACAGATAAAGTGATTGGATGATTGCTCTCGGGTTCAATCTTGACTTCTAGAGCCGAAGTCGAAGATTGAGCCACTTTAGTTGTCTTGCTCGGAAAGCCATGCAAGGAATAACACTTGTCTCGTGTATGCCCATCTCTTTGGCAGTAGGTACAATGGAGTTTCCTCTACCCCTTTTACCACGACCACGACCTCGACCACGCCCTCGACTTCCACGGTCAGTTGAACTAGGGATAAAAGCAAAAGGTGTTCCATTCTTGGAAATCTCTGCCATGAAGAGAAAAAGGAGAACAGCAAAAACACCTCCAAACAATCCCAAAAGACCTCTGAGACAGCCACCAAACAGTCTCAAAATTTCGTGGCAGCAACCAAACAACCACGAAATTCCAAGCAGCAACCAAACGACCACCTACAGTGTGACCCACAACCTGAAAAGGGTCAAAACAAGAAGAGGGAGGGCCGGCGAGTCCAACGGTGCAAACGGAGGCCTGGAGGGCGGCACGTGAACCCCACGCGCCGGCGAGCTTTTCTGACAAAAACCGCGCGCGAGAGCGCATGAGACACCGGTCTGGAGGCGGCTCGCGACGGAAAGGCCGATCGGCGACCTCTGAACACTCAGGCGGCGTCAACTTCAACAACCGCCGACAAAATTCAAAAAACCCTAGATGCCTTGCTAGCGGCTGGGTTAGGGTTTCCAAACCAGGACCAGAATGCTCTGATACCAACTTGAATCTGAATGATTTTCATGTTATTAAATTGATGGGTACAATAAAATAAATAGGCATAAAACATAATCAATCCCTAAAGTTTAGGGATTTAGATAAAACTGACTAAGGAAACTAAACTAGAAATTAGGAGAGGATAAACTAGTATATCTAAACTATATCTTATAGAATTATCTTAACAAAGATCAATCTTCTACAAGAAATAACTCTTGCTATATTATATAATACAACTAAGTTTGGCAAGCTTTAACCTTTTCTTGGTCTCTAAGCTGGTGTGCAACAACATACTTTATGTTCTTGGCTTGTTTCTAGGGATAAATATTTTTTCAAAAAGGTTAGGTTAATCTCAAGCTATATCATCCTTGCCAAATTCAATAAAGCTCAAAGGTACATGCAAAATTGTTTTCCAACCATGTTACATATAAGAAGAAAACATATTTGAAAACAAGAAAGTAATACAAGAGAGACAAGAGAAGAGGGACAAATAATTTAAAAAGTTAAACAAACCTGGAATTTTCCTTGATACGTGCATTTTCATATGTAATAGTCAATTTTTCCCGTAGGGTCCTGCATTCTTCTCTACAGGACTCCAATTCATTTCTTACCTATTATTTAAAGGCAAATTTTATTAATTTAAGCAGATGGAACAACAAAAATCAGAAAGAAAACTATCTATCAAACTTGAAACAGCACTGGAAAAAATCACAACTTTTTCAATCAATTTTTTCTTTGCTACAATTTTCGTACTAGAGTTACTTAACTGCTGTATCATAGTGTAGCTTATCTGTTAGACTCAAGCATTTAAACACACAATACTGGATTATATTAGTAATTTGGTTTATAGGTTAGATTCAGATAGTTGCTTTGAATAACAATGATTTCGGACATGAACATTTTAAGGAGATTATGAAGGGATTCATTTGGATGTTTCCTACAGTTATAAGAGTGTCACAGGCAGTTGTTATTTTCTTACTACTGGGAAATGGAGAATAGGTGGAGAAGAATTTAGATGATGGGGTCATATGGTCTGTGGCTTCAGAGTCAAGGACCTAGTGAGATGGAAGTGTTTTTGAGACCTTAAATCCAAATGAAAGAGGAAGCAACAGAATGAAGTGCAGTGAGAGAGCAGGGAAGAAACAGCGAGAGAGTGAACTGAATAGAAGCAACAGACAAGAATGTTGGACACAGTGCCAGAGAACAAAGCATGGATCGAAACACCCCCAAGAAAGTGCCAGAAAATGGCAGGAAACATCATGGGTTGCTTAGAAAAGATCTGTCAGCAGTGGGCAGTAGTGATCGGAGCTCAGAACAGAGTAGAAGAAGTGTGGACTGTGGATGCTAGGGTTGGCTGGGTGTCAAAGAAGAAACAAAGAAAAAACAGGTTCAGAATATATGGGGATAGAACTTTCCAATTTTACTCTCAAGTGATGGGATAAAGCACACACAGGTAGATTGACACTTCAAGTAGTAGTAGTAAGATAGTGGTCTTACAGATACAACATAGTCCTTTCAAGGCTTCAATTGGAAAATGTATTGACCAAAAGATTTCCCACAAAATGTTTTCTTTGAGTGTTCTGTGGCACAATTACCATAATTAGTACATATCTTCTTTTTATTTTTGTATAGAATTTTTTCACTAATTTTCTATAATTAGGACATTTTATTTTCCAGTAATCCCCTAATTGGAATATATTACAATTAGACTATATATTGTAAACATCCTTTGTAAGCCGAGTCGATATCATTCAATCTCTTTTCTCTTTTTCTTTCCTCGATAACTAAAACCCTATAACTACAAACACATTTATATATTAAAACAAATACTATAAACAACATTCATGTCCTTATTAGAAACCAAAAAAAAGGACCAATGTGTTCATGCTAGATAAGTTACGATCTGAACAAATACTGAAGCTTCAAGAATCCCATGTATGAAAAAAAAAATTAAAAAAAAAAAAAATATA